TAGGGTTTCAAATAATGAGCGAAATTAGAATCAAGGTTGTCAGATATAAAGTTCGGCGCAGCAAACGAAATGCGTCAGAATTAGCGCCCAAAAAACTCTGGGGAAACCAATGCCTGGAAGTGCAGAGACAATTATTGGCCTTGTACAGCCTCGGCCTAATCCTGAAACGTGAGTTGGCAGCCAATCGCTTGACAATAACAGGCTCAAAATTGGCGCTGAAATGCGGCGAAATCTCTTGTGTGCTTCATAGAACCGAGTCTCGACTTTCCGCCTCGGGGACAAATTCGATCGCGGTTGTACAGGGTGTTTCAGAATTAAGTAACCCTTTTAATTTGTTAATAAATAAAAAACTAAGAACGTTATGAAGTTGAAACTTGTTTTATTTAAAAGAAGAACATTTTCATGGTAATATTGTATCATAGTTACGTCATTATCCTGTATAGCTTGCTAAATTTGTGTTTAATTATCAAGCCTTAAATTTTCATCATGATTCGCTACAGCAAAGAAGAAAGAACGAAAATTCTGCAAACCTACATCAGGACGATGTCAATAACAGAAGTTCAACGCGATTACAGGATCCATTTCAAAACAAGAATCAGTCCTTCAAAAAAAACAATTAAATCTCTTTATCGAAAATTTGCGGATACCGGGAAATTACTAATGAAGGTTATGAAAGCAACGAAGAGAAGAGCCCTATTTTGTCAAAACAATTGTGGTGGGCATTTAAAATATATTATATTTAAAAACTAGGACACAATATTACCATAAAAATGTTCTTCTTTTAAATAAAACAGGTTTCAACTTCATAACGTTCTTAGTTTTTTATTTATGAACAAATTAAAAGGGTTACTTGATTCTGAAACACCCTGTAGAACCAGCACAACCTACACTCTGAAAAATTAATCGGTAATATTATGCAAATACTGACATACTTTCCGCATATATCACTGAAACGTTATCTTTGAAGGGAAAAACTGGGTCAGGATGGAACACATATAGGCAAGAAGCGCATCGCAATTTGGGCAAGGTCTTAATTTCTTTGATTGCACGTTTCCCAGTGCAAGCGGCTTCGAGGAAAAATGACCTACAGTCGGCAGCGCAGTAGAATCACAGTCGACGAGAAGTGAACCAAGTCTTGAGCAACGCCTCTTCTACTGACGTTGATGTCATTGCCAAACATTTTTCCTTATAACTCATAAATAATACTCGTGCTATATTGAAGGATCTTCGCTCAGACTTATTTTAAATGAGATTTACTTTTATTCTGAGACTTCAACTGTTTCTTGTGACTTCTTCTTTAAAAGTTTGCCTTAACTTCAGACTTCTTCAAAAATATTCATTTCGGTTGACGGTATTAGACTTTTTAATATAATGCTAAATAATCAGAATAGATATAAGGAAGCATTGATCTTGGAACTAGACTCCAGTCTTTGGTAATTTTTCAATTCGAGACGAGACGAGACAACAGGTAATAATAAATAAATAAGCAAGCTATTAAATCAAACAAATTTCTTGGAGGGATCACACGCTCTTACGAGTTCCTAGATGCGGAAGCGATGATGCAGTTGTTTGTTGCTGTCGTGCGTCCGAACCTAGAGTTTGCAAACGCATTGCGGTTACCCAGACTTGAAAAGGACAAAAATTTAATAGAGAGTGTTCAAAGACGTGCAACAAGGATAATTCCAGGCTTGAAGGGCAAATCCTATGAAGAAAGATTGAAGATTACGAAGCTTCCAATTAAGCCTCTGTTATCGACGTTTGCGTGGGGACCTCATTGAAGTATACAAGTACTCTCATGGTTTATACAAGGCCCTAGAAGGATTACTAGAATTTGAAACAAGAACCAACACAGGGGTCACGGCTATAGACTAAAACAACTGCGTTACAATACATCCACGCGACAACATTTCTTCTCGCTTCGAACCACCGACATGTGGAACAGCCTCCCCGATTACATCGTTGACGCTCCGAGTAGAAACGCGTTCAAGAACAGACTAGATAAAGCTACGGAAAAAAATATTTGCCGACTTGAAATGCCTAGCATCATATCTAACCCGGTTTAATTAAGTCTAGTAGCCATTTAAAACTATCGTCAGTTTAGAAAAGATCCAGTAGAAGGACATGATTTTAGATCTCCTACATGTGGACAAGCCACAAAAAGTACAAGAATCGGCGACAGGCCACATCAGGTCTACTCTTTAGCGCCGACATCACTATATGTTATGTTATGTTATTTATGTTATGTTATGCTATGTTATGTTATGTTATATTATGTTATGTTATGATAACAGGATTTGTCGCAATTAGCGATAAAAAGCAGAACGATTTCCAGCACTCCATGGGAATTCCGGGACAATTCCGGGATGAGACGTCCCGGTTAAAATAGGAGTTTTAAAATTTCCAGGAATCTAGCGAGACATAAGGAGATACACACTACTTAATCTAGACACTAGTTAATTCTTAATTTGTAATTAGAATAGTAAATTGTTTCATATATTATCTGATCAACATTTTGTCTTACAACGTTTCAGGTATATTACTATGTAAAATGACATCGCTAATACCCATCTAGCAAATTTGAAGGGCCAGAGTGAGATAATTGTTACAAATGCGCAGCGGGAAGAATTATTACAGATCTCTACGTCATTTCGTTTTCGATTATAATGAAAAGTAAAAAAAAATTCACGCAACTGATAGGCTCACAAGTCCGTCAGTTCTGAACGGATCTACATGAGATTTAAAACATTTAATTAATAACCAGACTCGGCGGTAGGAATCGACGCAAATTTTTGCGTTGCAACTTAAACTAAGGTCAGTAATAATCGTCATTAGTTACTAGGCTAGTGGCCTTGTGTATTGCATATGTTATAGGGGTTAATAGCGAGTAGCGGCCAGTAGCTCTGCCCGTTGTTAGCCAACTTCGAGCCAACAAGTTTTTACAAGATATATGCCAGGGAGACAATAATGCTTATTTTCAACAATCTATGGTGTAAAATTAAATGTCCGAGAGGTCATACGAGCAAGCTCAGAGAGCGATAGGTTGTACGTTTTCCCCTTGGTTGGGACCAATTACTCTCATCAGCGGTAGCCTACAAATGGTGATGGCATTGCTTTGCTTGGGCGTAAGCTTTGTCTTTGGTTAACCGGCATAAAAACTTACGATGTATGCATCTATTATTCTCATGTAAGTATTGACTTTTAAAATTGAATGAAGCCTCATCTTCATTGTAGATGTTCATTCGTCATTCGTTCATTTAGACCGGCATTATATTTCTAAAGCCTTTGAGCTAAGCAGCTTCGGCACGGAAAAGGTGTCTACCTATGCCCGGTCTGTGGCCATCATTGAACTTGTAAATATCGCCTTGTAAATATCGTCTGAACTTGTAAATATCTTTGTTGAACTTGTAAATATATATAAAAGTTTGTGATGACTTTTGGCGTGGTTAATACTTCGGCCTTCATGGGTCTCGCCTGTTCTTTGCTCCTCAAAATAATTCCAGTTACCACTTCTGATTCGTGGAATCTTGAAGGGCTTGAGAAAGCCCTTCCGCATTATTCTAAGCGGCTGAGCGATCGACACTGCGTCACCGACTCTAAACACTGCGTCACCGACGATGATATCAATCATATCACTAAAGCGTGATGAACTCGTATGTTTATCGTGGCGCGTGATTAAAAGCTCAACAAAAACATCATTCCCTAAATGTTCAGTCATACATCGGCAAGTCTGCCCTCTAATTTATAAGCCAAATTAGTTTCGCAGCCAAATGTAACCGAATCTGCCCATCAAAAATCATGAGTTAACTTGACATTGCTAAACCGCGCATTCGGAATGTTCAGTTTTTTTGTTCGTATAGGAAGGAATATCTTGTTTTGCCTTGAATATGTAAGACACGTTACGGCTCGTTTTGTGTCTCTCTACCTAAAATCTTTTAATAATTATCGGGACACAAGTTCTGAAGTCTGGGATACAAGTCTTGTCCCGATTCATACGCTAATTCTGGGACAAATTTTATTCTCTGTCCCGTTATTTTTTTCCCGGTAATTTCTCATCTCTCCCGGTTGTCTTGGTTCATTTCGAGAAAATTATTCTGTGAAACGGGAGTCTGGTTGGAACAATTCTTTCAAAAGCCGGAACATGTTGCTTATATATTTTTCCAAAACTTGTTTGGTGCCGCCGGTTTTCAATAAACTTCACATTTGTGTTTGAAATAGTAATAAGAATACCTTAGAGCAAGAAATCCAACTTGGCTCTCTTCAGTGCGTGAACAGTGAGAAAGCTTCTACACACTCACAGCCCATCATGAAATTTTTCATGTCAGGATGCTTCGGCCAAGAGGGCGCACCAATAAAGAAGTCATAACAATTGTTTCTGATGACACACGAGGTTACATTCGCCCCGCAATCTTAACGGGAATCACTAGTAATTATAGATTTTGAAGTATCAATGGAAAATGTTCATGAATATTTAAAAGCCAATTGTTGATTAGCAAAAAAAAAGATGTAATGAATCACATGCCAGAAAAACACGGAAACCATATTTTTCAAATCTTAACTTGATTTATTTTAATACTTGACGCTGCAAGATATCGATCATCTATTAATTTTGCCCTAAAAAAGAACCGTGGGCAGATTTATTATAATTCATGCTGCCGCTAAAGAACAAAATCAACGAAATAGAATCAAGTAAGTGTCGGTTAATAGACACAAAAAAGATAACTCAGTACTCACTGCAGTGAGTGACAGAGAGCGCATTTTCTCGTCGACGAAAACGTGAAGTCAAGACAGACAGACGGACGGACAGACGGACATGGCGAGCACAATACTGAATTTTTCTATAAATGAGAAAATGTGCTAAAAACAGATAGTAGCAGAAAAGGTATTATGCGAATTACACATAACTAGCAAACAGTGCTATTCAATCATGGAGAAGAATTTTATTGTGATAATCATTCTATACTACATGAAAACAATTCCTATAAATTATACAGGTTACTAACCTCAGTAGCACGAAGCATTGAAAAGCCGCATAGTGAAAGAGTCCATTCTTCCGTACGTTCTTCTATCCAGTTTATTGTCAAATAATATTCTAGTGGAGCTAAATGATTGATGGTTTGAACTTATCACCTTAAACCGAAAGTCACGAAGATGTCAAAACTTTCACTTCAAAATTGTTTTTCAAACAGGTTCAAGTCGAAAACCAAGTATTTATTTTGCACTGGAAGTTTTCAATCCGGAAATAGTATAAATATTTGAAAACAAGGTTAACAAGCTATTCACGTGTTCAGTTCATTAAAAGTCCAACACACCAATACCTTTAGAAATTTTCTAAGATACGTAATATGTATAGTTTTAAAAAGATAGAAATTTTCACAGAAATGGTTCGATTTTTCAGCATTTAGTTTACACAATCTGTTCCATTTATAATAACCAGCGCATGTTAATTAACTTGCTAATAAACTTTTCAGCAACAGCGCATAGAAACTCTCTAACTACAGCTCATCATTTGACGATGCTAGGTTCACAACTCATTTAAATCTTAAAATTTTCTATTTCCTTGAACGAATTTCAAAACTTCGCGGGTCGGTTTCAGATTTAGTGGATGAAACTGGGAAAGACACACACAACCTTCTTTCCTCAGTGCCGACGCAGGACTGAGACTCCTAAGTCGAAGGGAGTCCTGAGAGACTCTGTACTCTGACGCGCACACTCGGCTTGGTGTGCGGTGCTCAATGGCGACGTCATCTGCCAGACAAACTGGATCATTGATACCCTTGCATTTGCACTTTGTTGAGGAATACCTAAAAAGTATTTAAAATAATTAATATGAGATAATTTTGACCGATGAATGGTCGAATGAAAACGTTTTTGAAATTTATAAATCAATATACGATTTAATTTTCGCTGTTGATATTGTGTCGTAGCCATTTCCTGTAGGAGAAAGCGCAGTTTTAAATGGAAATCACTTCAATATGGAGGACATTCAATAAATGTTAGGTCAATTCATTAATTTTAAACGGAAATAATGCTAGCCTTCTGCCACCTTTCATAAACCCGAAATCCTCGAAAAATAAAACTAAAAAAGTTACACAAAATTATGGCTACAAAAAAACTAAATTACGAAAAATTTCATTCGTCTCGCGCGACGCCACAAGGACATGATTGCAATGGAATGGCATTGACAAAGACTTACGGAAGAGTATCGCCGACACGAACCTTACTGAGTAGTGTTCAGTTACGGTGCCCATTGCCGATTTACTGCGCGTTAATTGGGACACTGTGCAGGTCAACTGGTATCGCGCCTAGTCGAATGTAAGGGAGAGCTGTGAATTCGATAGATCTATTATTTAGTGATAACCTTGTCATGGGTGAAATAAATTGTTGGCGTTAGATCTAGTGCGTATTAAGAAATCGTTCATATGTTGACGGATTCAACTGTTGAGATGGGTAGTACTGAAGGAGTTGCCTGGTAATAGATGTTTATATCGGTGTAAGATAGCCTATTACAGCAAATTTTTCACAGACAAGGTGAAAATATTTATTTGCGTAAGGCGCCGATCAGGCTAATATTCGATTGGCAGTCAGGCCGTCCAGGTTTGGCTATACTAATAGCTCCACATGCAGTCGACACCTGGATAAAAAGCGTTGTAGTTCACCGAAATATTAAAATGCAGAGGCCTGCGTCCTTCTCAATACAAATATAATGATCGTATACTATTTAAACGAATATGTGCTGTATTCTTCAGAGTTGTAATAATCATATCTTGATAATTTGTGAACTTTCATTTTGTCTTTTCAAGTTGCCCCCTCCGTACGGGGATATTTAATATTTGTGCAAGATTGTCTACAATGGAATACAATGCTCGTGAACCAGCTTCGAGAACCTCCGAGTACGGATTTAGAGAGTCTGCTTGGGCGGCGGAAGACGAGAGGGACTGCCGGACGTGTGATATTTTGCTTGTGATTTTACTCTTCTCGCTGGTTGGGACGATCGGCCTGGGGCTGATATTCTACATCTTCGGTACCTTCGCTGGTAAGACTGATTTGCAATAGCATCAGAATCTCATTAATATAATCACAATACGCGTACACGTTTTTAAAATAATCTTATCGTATCACATTAATAGTTCTAAGAAACTAGTGCGGTGCTATTTCTACAAGACTCCTGAATCATTTCAGGAACTAATTGCAGTGCATGCACGGACAGTTAGTTCATCAGATGAAACTAGTTTGATAGGTTGATATTTGTACATCTATTGTCTAAACCTTTTCAGCATGCCGAAATAACTTGACTATATATTTTCCAGACATGAACGAAATGGCAAGATTTCGTCTATCATTCATGATGAACTGCGTTTTGATTATCATCGGAATCCAGTTCATGTTCAGTATAGTTGGACTAATAATCCTTCTACTTGCAAGAATCCTGAAGCGCGACCAGAAGCAAAAGTTTCGTTCAGAAAATATTCGGCACACCCTACCAAGAGTAGCGACAACTTCGACGCTATGTTCTGAATGCCAATGCACACAAACTCATGAAGTGCGTAATTTTCCTAAGATTTCTCAGATTGATCTGGAGGCAACTGCCAGAAGTCCTGATATTCGGATAGTGTACCTCAAGGAAGATTGCACCCAAACTGCATCTGAACCTGACGACGAACTGCCGGAACTTGCGACGGTTGATACAGAATTAGCAGTTAACAGCAGCGCGCCAGAGGAGATTGTTCCTTCTGAATTAGTGTAACTTGCAGGTCCTTGATTATGAACCTCTATTCATTTTAACTAGAATGTTAAGAAATTCCCTCTGTAATTTCTTGAACTGTAGGAGCAGTTACCGTTATCGTGTGAAGTTCATCAATCATCAACTCTAACATATTTGGCGGTAACTGTTTAGTACAATTCCCACAAGTCTCTTTTCCGTCAAAACGCGTCGAAATGGGTATGACTACCTTACGGCCTCAATCTTAATTGGAAAATATTAGTAAAGGTTGTGATATCTTCTGAAGAATTTTAAATTTAGGTTATGCATTTATTTGTGATTAAAGTAGATATTTTTAACCGTTTTTAGACTATCATTCAATAGTTGCCCTCGAGGAGGGTTTTTAATTGTAATTTGAACAAGCGCACCTGTGCTCTGATGCCATGAATTGTGCTTAATAATTTTATTAGTAATCGTGTGATGATTAATCCTACATCAGTTTTGTGCTGTGCACGTGTATCTCCTAAAATACCGAGATGTTCACCGGCTGAAGAAAATAAAGCCGCAATTAGCCGAAGTAAATAAGTTGCATGCCGGAAGAATAGCAAGATTATGATAATGGTTCACTGGCAGCAATGTATTGGCACTGACCATGCATCGAATGGAATAAATCTGGTAGATTTGGCGTACAATGAATTTTCTCTAGAAGGCAATTCATGGTAAAAAGGTTCATGAACATGATATAGCCGTAACAGAGGACACAGAGTTCAGTGCTGTGGTAGTGGCGTGGTGAGAGTCTGTCTCTCGCACCCAGCGCCCGGGTATAGAGTCCCACTGATGACAAGTTCTACCGGGAAGCTCGGCTCATGGTCAACTCAGCCATTCATCCAACTCTGGCTGATAAATGAGTACCTGGCTTGTCCAGAGTGTTGTGTAATGCAATCAAATGGTTCTGGCGTGTCAGCGAGCCAGTGATGGTCGTAGAACTACCAGTGACACCCGAGTGCCCGGAAAAACTGACCTATCACCCCTCCTCCCTAGTCGCCACTGCCAGGATGGGCAATTACAACAACTACAACACAGAGTTCAAATACCTCCTGAAGAGTCTTCAGTTGGAAATTAATTTAACCCGTTTGAGAAATCTGATAGAGGATGGAAAAAAGACTATTACCTAAATATGCGGTCATCCAATATACTGAGAAATGGGGTTTAATCAGCTCGGTAAAATGATGAACAATCTGATGGATCTTTGAAACTGCTGAATGAACCGTTCCGTAACAGACTTGGAAGGTTGAACCGTAATCACCCAGAAGTTTAGCATCGGCCTAATCCTGATCGTATGCATTATTGTCCCAAAATTTAATTCGTTGATCGTCTAAGTTCTTATTCTGTGGCTAAATGAAGTATTCTTACGCTGCTATGAACCGAATTTAGACAAGAGATCGTACAACAATTAGGGGTGGAAGTCGGATGCCCCGAACTTTAGATCAGTTTTTTGTGTTCTACGAAGATTTCGTAGCATTGCATGTAGAATTGGTTAAACCTTGAATGTATTTCTTTTGAATTTCGATGACTGTACTTTTTCACGTTGCCTAAAATTCATGATTGAAAATTTTAGTGGTCCTGATTATAAGTAAATTTTTGAGTTTTCGAGAAGTCTTGCATATATATTTTATTAAATGAAATTCAAGTCTGCTGTACCAAACGTTCTGAACATCGCAAAGCTTGCATGTGGGCAGCAGCGCATGACCTGCAGCAACACCCATTATATTTCCACGTAATAACCAAGCGACTTTATACTATATCGTCTATCGCTGACTGGAGACGGAGACAATGTTACTTCCTCCAGCGCATGCCCAGACCACCGTCTGCACGCGACCAGGCTTAGAATCTCAGGGTTGCACCAGATCTATTTTACTCTCGGTTGACATAATTGAACAGAAAAATTTTGCTCGCAGTTGACTTTGATGAACAATTGAAATTCGCTCGCAGCTTACGCTTTTGAGCAAAGAAGCCACCACTACCAATTAAGTCTGTAAACGTGCACCTATCTAATAAAATTATTGCTGGTTAATTATCAAAGCATTTAATATTACCATAGGATCACTAGTAATTGGAGGTTGTCTAGGTGCCTACAGGCTGAAGATTAATTTGAAGATTAATAATGAAGAGTTTCTTATGCGACAAAGGCTCAGTAGCTGTAAGTAAGATTATATGTCAGAGCGATCATAATATATGAAGTAATCATTCGTTCATGGAAGCGGACTGTACTTCTCCAAACTTTCCCTTTTCCCAATAAAATTCAGCGCATAGACTCAATATTATTCAGCTTGGTAAGTAGAGCATATTATCGAAAAGTTGTTTGAAAAGCTTTCGATAAACGAAAATTCAGTCGTAGGATAAATGATAGTTTAAAATAATTCATTTCGTGATGCCGGCCACAAACAATCTACCGTTTGCCTGTGGCTTATTTAGGGACGAGCGAAGCCCCTCAGCGAGGCACTTCTCATGCACTTGAGACGTGGAAATATTTGCCATGAAATGTTTACCTTCACGCCGTACGGCCCCACAATTCCCATTTTATTATAAGCTAAATGCCAGCCGCGGACACAAATATTGTCCAGGCTGTGAGACAAATTCGAAAACCCTTAACCCTCTACCGCCGAATGTCACTCTCCACGAGCATAACTTTCAACTTGAATCATACGTAAACTATTGAGTGTAGCAACTTGAGGACGTTTGTACGCAACAGAACATCTTCGAGTTGTCGTACGTGGCCACAACCATCAGTGCAAGTCATTTTGTGCTCACTAACGTATCCTTTTTGTGAAGTAGGCTTGTGACAATATTGCTCCGGTTGCTCATGTCAGGCGGTAGTTAAAAGAGAATTCAATTACAAGCGCTTCATGAAAAATTGCCGATGCATTCATATTTACAAGGATTCTGCATGACAATAGTTTCTCTTTGTTAAGATTATAATCTGATTCGCTCATTATAGAAATTTCTTTTTCCTATGTAGTATTATTGCGTCGATTTTGAGATTTTCTCAGTTTTTTTTTCAAATCAATCATTGTTGCATGATCGACTCAATCCGGCACTGAATTTTTTCCTAAAAGGAAAGCAGTAATTATGCAGTGGGAAAATCTTGTGAAATTTTTCTAATAAGTGAGCTGAAGCAAGATTTCTGTGCCAGTTTGTTACTCAAATTATTGGTGACTGGGAATTACTTGATTATTTATTAATCGTGTAATTTTATTGTGATTGCGATTACTCTTTGATTAATGATCTTGCTATCATCCCTTTTTTGTCCGTTAAATTCCTGTTAAAATGAATGAACATTTTCATCATGAACATTGCATGAAGTTTTCAGCTGTCATATATTTTCTGAGATCTTGAATGCTCAGCGCTCAATCCTTTCTTCTAATCTAATGCGTTATTTCCTAAGCGCCTTTTTTGATGTTGCATGCCGCCATTCCATAATGACTGCGATGTTACAAAAAGCATGATGTACTGGCCGCCTGTTTTGTTCTTACCTCGCAGTGAATTTTGTTTCGTCTACGCATATATAACGGAAGAAAAAAGCGGCATTTTATACCAGCTAAACTATGGGTTGGTTTTTCCCCGCCTGCCACTCATCAGTGCAGCTTGGCTGCTTATTAGTTTATCCCGCGTTCCCAGTTTCGTAGATCCTAAAACTGTAGGTTAGCAGGCATCGAATAACAAGTTATTTTTTTCATCGGCACCCAAAGCCAGACTGGAAATCGTAAGCAGTAAATCGGAGTCCGCTGAATATCGATAGACTGGGGCAATCAAACTGCGAGAGGTGTGCATACGGTCGGCCGCCGATGATACACGCTTGAATATTAATACGTAATTGTGGTAGGCCTCGTACGGTCGGCCGTCGATCACACGCGCTTGAATATTAATACGCAATTGTGGTAGGCGTCATACGGTCGGCCGCCGATGATACACGCTTGAATATTAATACGTAATTGTGGTTGGCGCCATACGGTCGACCGCCGATGATGCACGCTTGAATATTAATACGCAATTGTGGTAGGCGTCATACGGTCGGCCGCCGATGATACACACTTGAATATTAATACGTAATTGTGGTAGACGTCATACGGTCGGCCGTCGATCACACGCACTTAAATATTAATACGTAATTGTGGTAGGCGCCACACGGTCGCCCGCCAATCACACGCGCTTGAATATTAATATGTAATTTTGGTGGGCGTCATACGGTCGGCCGTCGATCACACGCGCTTGAATATTAATACGTAATTTTCGCCGAGCTGGCCGTTGGCGGCGCCCTCACCCTGCCATTATCTGGCGGCGGCGGCGGCGGCGGCGGCGGCGGCGGGGAGAGGCTCGCTGATCTCACCTCGGCGCCAAGTGTTCGTTTCCTCCGACGCGACGACGACGAATGCGCGCATAAACAGGGCGTGATGCGTGCGCTCCTTCACGCATAGCTATTCTTGTGGATCTTGTGTTGATTATCCAGTCATTTATTTTCATGTACGAATATTCCTACAAGAGAAATTCATAATAAATTTATACAAGGAATTTTCCTACAGGGGAAATGTGAGGATCATTTTTTCTCAGATCGACGGGAATTGTTTTTAAAGTCTTCAACAATTATCTCTGTTTTGTTCCAGCTCAATTTCCGCCACGGCTGCGCAGCAAAAAGAGAGCTGTTGCACCAGGGCTCTACCGTATGCGAAAATTGTGATGAACTATTCAGAACGTGAGGACAGGGATACCTTGATTTCTTACTCTCTATTTTAGACTTAAAATCAACATTCTCCTTTAAAAATTGTCTTCCTTATTCTGAAACTTTGTTATCTAAATCCTGATGCAAACTATCGAGTGAAGGGAATAATTTTCTCAGCCTTGTACCAAAAATATTAAAAAAAGCTCCGTCGAAGCAAATATTGCTACTAAACAACGGCAATGAACCGTTCACGCTTTAATTTCCAGTTCATTATCAGCTTTACGTCTGTTACGTATCATGAAACTGAAGCATAATTAAACCGAATCAAAGGATGAAGGCGCATTTATTTAGCTCCCCATTGTGAAGGTATTTACAATATTTGTTATAAATTAAGCAATATAAGGCTACGCTCTAGCCTTCAAGGCCATAAAGACATTTCTTCATCCTTGATAGCTTCAGCTTTTGTGGGTTGAATGAATGCACAGGAAATTCATCGTGACGCAGAGGTGCGAGCATCAGTGAAGTGCATTGAAGGGCGATGAAGAAAGCCCGATATTTCGTAAGACCCTGGCCATTGAAGTGTGAAGTGAGCGATTTCTCGGACTATTTTTTATGCATAATTAATTATTCATGCAATTTGCAGCATTGATCTTGATTCTCACTACAAACTAGCTGGTTAAGTCAGCTAAAATGATTGAATGCTATGACATTTTATGCTAACTTATTATATTTACTTCAGTTTTCCATTAGGCTGAA